GTTTCCGTTTAAAACACGTTTTGCACCGTTTTGTCGGAGCTGAACACAGCCCTGGAGTAATGATGCTGGAAATTCCGCTTTGATCACAGGAATAAATTACATTTTAACATGTATTAAACTAGAAAACAGTTGTTTTAAATGGTAGTAATATTTCAGAATATTACTGTTTTTACTGTATCTTAATTGTTACGTTTAATGTTGGAACTTTATTAACTGCAATATTTATTGGATAAAGTTTTGTATGTTACATTTTATATTTTTGCTTAATTGTCTCATAATTGTTTACTGCTTAAAACCATTGTTGTACGAAGTCAGCATGTGTTCAGATTTTATACGTTCATAGAGACCTTGCCTTTCAATGCCTTGGAAATGGCTCCTCTATCATGACAGTTTTCACTCAATTCAGAATTCAGCAATGAATCGTTAAATATTAGAGAGCGTGTATGTCTTTCAAAATGGCAGGAAGAAACTATATAATCGGCCACACATAATTAAAATCTGTGAAACACGGGTTTTCATATTGTGTTTTCATTTGACCTACAAAACGTATCCGAGATTGTATCAAGTATTCAAGTAGTCGTCATATAATCCATGTGTGTGAGAAGCCTGTAAAGTGAGTGCCTGCTGTGAATGTTTCAGGTGTTGACGGAGGCTGCAGCAGAAATCAGTGGCAGTGTGATGATGGAGCATGTGTGTCGCGCAGATGGCGCTGTGACGGTGTCAGTGACTGCCAGGATGGATCTGATGAGATGGACTGCAGTATGTATCAGACACCATCGGCTCCTGAGAAGTTGTCTGTCTTTATGCTCACTTGTTGAATTAATCGGGTTGCATCTGTTTGTTTCTATGCAAGTAGAACACAAATAAACAAGCATATTTCATGCCATTAGCATGTCAGCCTGGAGATGTGGAGTGTGCGGATGGCTCCGGGTGTGTGATTGGGTCGGGTGTTTGTGACGGCCGGCCCCAGTGTCCCGACGCTTCAGATGAGTGGGACTGCAGCTGGCGTTTAGGGTGTCTGTCAGGTGACTGGAAGTGCAAGAACAGCGTTTGCATCCCACAAGAGCTTCTCTGCAACGACGTCAACGACTGCGGTGACAACTCTGATGAAGAAACCTGTGGTGAGATGCTCTAAGCCTCATTAAACAATGTATGACTGTCAGTGCATTAGATCAACCTGTGACTTTTTGTAGGACCAGTTGTTTAAAATAAATGCAAGAAGAGGCACAGCCTCTAATTATCTGGGCCCTACCAAAAGGGAAATGGGGCAACTAGGGCTGTGCAAAAAATC